GAGTTCTGAGTTATAATGGGCTAAGCTGTCCAAGTGTCTGCTTTATTAGGTGTGGTGAGGCCTAGGGACTATCAGATTGATTAAGGAAACATGAAACAATTCAGGTCAGCAGCTGTGTAGAAGCTGTTGGTCAGAATGGGACAGAAACCATTAGTAGCCCCTGAAATTCCAGCTTGGTTAAGATAGAAAGACTTTAAAATTTAAGATGATTAAAGTTTGATTTATACAAAATGCAACAGAGATCCTTATGTGTGAATATGTTGTAAAATATTGCTGATAAAAAGTATCACAGCAGAAATAATATAAAAGGTATCATCAGAGAGGGGGAAAGGAGCAAGGCCTGTCACATGGCAAGAATGAAGACTGATGAACAGTCTATATGCTTCATTGATGTCTATATTGTGTCAAAAATTAAAAGAAGGCCTCCAGTATGTTGGGGGACTATTTAGCTCTGCACATGGTCTCAAAATGACGTAAGATGAGAAGATGGTGGTGACTTGTGAGCTGCATTGTTGGAGGGAGTCTTTACATCAATGAGGTTATAAATTTATAAGAGAAATATTCCAAATATAGCACCACAGTGCTCTGCACATAATGCTTATTAAATTGTCTATCTGTTTATCTGAGTAGTGACTGATTTTTGGTAATGCTGTTTTAGTAAAATTAAATGATTAGAGAATGGACAATGAAAAATATGGACAACCTTAGGATAGCTTCTCTGGAAAATGCACATATACTATACTGCTCTAGTGGCATGTCTGGGGGCAAAGATGGGGGGTAATTGATGTATACACTGGAGAAAAGAGTTAAAAGATTCCAATTTTGAATTTTGTTGATTCACATTTTGTGGAAAATCTTAGTGAATGAATAGTGAAACAAAAAATGAGCTGATAGTAGCTTACCTATGAGTTGCCAATATTATGTGAATATGGCTTAAACTCAATGATCACTAATTTTTCTTTAATATGAGGTCAGTAATTCACAAAAGTCCTGCTGTAATGCTTCCTTACATGGGGGTGACATGACATGGGATTCTTAAAGCTAACCTCACAGAGCCTAAGCTCCTATAGACTTTTGCTAAGAATCACCTAGTTTTGTTTTTTTAATCCATTTACACACATTGTCAGATGGTCCTTTAAATGTGGGATTTTTATGTAATGACTAATGAATGGACAAACTATTAGGGTTATATTTCTATCTATATCCTTACTGTGAATAAAACAAGATGACAGAAAGAAATTACAATTCTTTAAGTGGAAGCAAAACTCATGAGTTTTCCTTGCAGATGCAAACAAAGAAATGTGTGGAGTTGATTTCGTCATGTTCTCTGAAACATCACTGTGTACAATTCATGGTTCTCAGCTTTCATTGCTCAAAATATATAGTGTATATAAAAATCTATTGCAAAGAATGAAATAAAGAAATTCTATGAACATATTGACAAGATTATGAATCCAAAGTCATCATGTACCTTGAGCGCCCAGTGACTTCAGTATATATATGGGAGCATAGAAACACATATTAGAAAATATTCAGGAGCACAAAATGTAAAAGACCAAAGACATTTTGATGCCTTTAATCCTCATGCGCATCATGAGCATTTTATGCATAAAGAAGGATGTCAGTAGGCATTATAATGGCAAACACTGAACAATATCCCCAAATATGAATTGTCACTTTTTTAAGAAATTAAATGACTAGTCAGGAAGATGAGTCATTTCAAAATTAGCCATCTGTATGCAGTCAGATCAGGGAGCTGTTTGAACAACAAAGTCAAAGGCTAAAGATAAATGAAAAATTACATATCTAATGCAACCTCCTTTAGCAAACTGTTAATGTTGAAAAATGGGAAACCAATAAAAGTAAAGACATTTATTCTATTATGTTTTCTTAGGAAAGTCTATACCACTTTATTGCACATTATGTAATAACCATTATCTTAGAAAAAAATCAAAATCATAGAGTTCTTAAACCAGAATGGAACAACTTATTGTAGATATAAGTGTGATATAGAAATTATTAATGTATTTATATATATATATATATATGTATAAAATGATACAAAACATATCATCTACAACAGATATGACTAGAAGAAGATCAGTCATATAGGGAGAGTAAGGGATACCAGCACAAGTGTTGTGTTAGTATCTACTCCATGCTAAAAACAGAAGAAAGCTTTGGTAGCTTCTTTATAGTGTATTCATGGAAAGATATAGTTAAGCATCAAATAATGAAAAGGGATATTTTGGTCACAAATTAAGACTGAACCCCATCAGGGAAATCACAGTTGCTTTGTTGTTTTGGAGTATATGGAAATCAATAGAAATAAAACATGTGATATCGCTCATCAATGAATAAAATGGCAGCTTGTGGCAGTGCTGTGCTTCTGGGTCTCTGCTGGGTAGGTGATATATTTCTTGCCTGAAAATTTTCAGGAGACAAAAAGGACAGAGGATAGTAATTGATTGAAGTGATGTTAAATGATAATTTTTATAGTTACATGAAACTGCATTTTATTCTGTACTTCAAATTAAATAGTTGTTTCCATTCTAAACTTAGAATGGGGTCATTTTTATTAATCATCTTGAGGCAGTGAAGTAGAGAAATGGATATAGCACTGGGCTGGAGTCAGGAAGATCCTGAGTTCAAATTTGTACTGAAAGACTTATTAGCTTGTGACCTGCAGCAAGTCACTTAACCTATTTGCCTCAGTTTTATTTTCTCTAAAAGTAAGACAATAATAGTATTATTGTTGTTATGGAGATGAGATAATACTTGTAAAGCTGTTTGTAAACCTTAAGGTGACATATAAATGGTAGCTATTATTATTATTATTATTATTATTATTATTATTATTATTATTATGTTAGTAGTAAGTATTAACAATAATTATCATGGCTTCACACAAAAGCATTAAACATGAACAACCTGAAAAATTGTTATGAGACCATTGTTCAATAGTACTTAATTCCTTCACTATCAGATTAATTATGGAAGCCCAGAATGATTGAAGAAGAGTCCATCTAAGGCACCTTCATCCTGATCCATCTGTGTGCTTTAAAAACTCCTAAACCTTAAATCATTTTCATCAACTAAATATCTATTTTCTTAAACATCCTTAGTAAAAGATTTCTCTGGGTAATTACCTGATAAAAATCCCATCTTCAGCTTTATCTGTGTAGACAAAGTATGAGAGTGCAGAACTGAGTAGGTATACAGTAAATCATGCTTTTTGATTTACTAAATGTATCCCATTATTACAAGATCACAGATTCATGAGTTAATAAAGCTTCAGTATCACTAGCTTAGAACTGCTTTTTTTTTTCAAGTGAGGGAGCTTACCCAAATAGGTTAAGTCACTTGCATATGTCACCTGGGATATTTTAGAAACAGAAACACCTCCCACATCACCCTAGTATATTCAGATAATGGAGACAGAACGATTATGCCCCAAATGATTGCTTTCATTTTCAAAACATTTAAGTACACTGCAGAAAATACTCTGCTAACAACTTTTGTGCCTGCTGTTCCAAAAAAACTTCCAGTAAGCTATTTTTCTTTCAACTAAACACCATTGATGCTAGCTATAGACATTGTTTATTTTGTACAATTTATGATCCTTCTCTTCTCTTTCCAGACTGCTTCAAGCAAGTCTTTACTAGAACAGCCCTAAAGTCATTAAAGAATTTCTTCCCCTTAAACTCACAATCAAACACTTGGCGTCTAGTCAGTGCAATATGTATATTACCAATAAGAACTGTGCAATTTCATATCCCTCATACATAGTTGCATGACTAACAGTCCCAAGAAACTAACAGAAAATGTTTTCTAGCAGCATCATGAGTTTCTTGTATGCGTTCTTCTTCTTTAGTGTTCAAAGAAAGTAAAGAAAAAGAAAGATCATATCATAGCATGAAGACAAAATTTTCAAATAGCAAATTGTTCTAATTGCTAAGCTCTTCCTATCAGCATAAACAATATTTATGTAGGGAAAATAGATACATATATGTAACAAGCATATCTCCAGTGCAGGAGGATTGGATGGTATTATTTTTACTGATGATAATCATGCATTCATCTACAAACAAAATTATTTTTTTAAGGTACATGTGGGGCTGTTATAGATGAAAGGGATTTGAAAAGACTTCTTCCACTCTAGGAAGAGGTGAGATGAGATATATGTACTTAACACAGTGACTTTTTTTTTTTAAATAGAAGCTACTTACAATATTAAATAATTATTCATTTGTTAACATACCTCCTAGGTTTTTTAGTTTCTTTATTTTATTTTATGTATTTTATTCTTTATTTAAATGCATATAGTATTTTGTCAGAAGTTTTTTTTTAATCTATTGACATAATCACGCAATTTTAATTGGGATAAATGTAGTCTATTATGTTTATTATTTTCCTAACGTTGAACCCATTAGATTGTGAGTGCCTTAAGGGCAGGAATTGTCTTTTTTTTTTTTGGCTAGGCAATTGGGATTAAGTGATTTGCCCAGGGTCACACACCTAGCTAGTAATTGTCTGAAGCTAGATTTGAACTCGGGTCCTCCTGACTCCAGGGTTGGTGCTTTATCCACTGTGCCACCTACCTGTCCCCAGGAATTGTATTTTGCCTTTTTTGTAACCCCAGTCCTTAGCACAGTGTCTGGCACACAGCAGGTCCTTAATAAATGCTTATTGATTGATTAAACCAATCTTGTATTGCTGTTGTAAATCCAAACTCATAGTAAATAACCTTTTTGATAAGGCCTTTTTTAAAGGTACAGAAAAAAAAAGAAGTGAGGTCGGACAAAATAGAGCAATTTTGTTACTACCATTTAAATTTAACATATTTAACAACAAAGAAACTATATAATAGGATTTCACAGTATTTTAGCTAATCCTTTTTTCCTAGTTCTTTGTGTATTGAAATGTGTTTATTGAAGATCATGTTAGGTTTAAAACATATACATCTAAAATATGTTACTTTTTACAAAATATATTTTTAGATGCCAGTGTGAATCGATATCATGTACAGTGGTTTGCAGAATCATGTGCCCATAATGAAACAAGTGGACCTGAGAAAGCAACTGGTTTGGCCCATGTAAGTTGAAATTTCCTAAAAGTTATAGTTTTCCAAAAGTTGGAGTCGGCATCTCAGGAGGTAATAAACTTCCCATCTCATTTAAAGTTCTTTAAATAGAAGATGGGTAGCAACTTGTTCCCAGATGTTGTGCCTGAACTGTAGTTACAAAGGGGAAAGTGAAGGAGCAAGAATTTACTAAGTAGGTCTTGTGTTCTATGTATCTGCTTTACAAGTATCTCATTTGACCTTCACAATGACCCTTGGGAGGCAGATGCTATTACTATCCCCATTGTATAGGTGAGGAAACTGAGACAGAGGTTAAGTGACTTGCCCAGGATTACACAGCTAATAAATGTTTGAGGATAGATTTGAACTCAGATCTTCCTGTTTTCAGATCCAGCACTCTAGCCACTGAACCATCTAGTTCTCTTATGAGTTGGATTAAAATAGAAAGAGTACTAGACTTGTCAGAAGACTTGAATTCAAGTCTCAGCTCAATTTGGATTAGACATTTGACTGGGCAACCATAATCAGAGATCTAGAATTAGAGTCACCTCAAAGACCATCTAGGCTGACAGCTTTATTTTATAGATGATAAAACCTAGTTCCAGTGAGATTAAGTGATTTGCCCGAGATCATTTGTATAGTGTTAGAGGCAGGATTTGAATCTAGGTACTCTGGCTTGAAAGAGTCATTCTTCTCCACTATACCATGCTAGACTCATTTAAATTATGTAGATTAAGTAAAATGAGGGGATTTAGGAAGAACATTTTTTAAAAATTCCTTTTATCTACCCTTCTCTAATAGTGCATGATTTTATGACTTTTGTCAACTTCTTAAGATTCTATGTTTTTAAATAGAAACATCTTTTTGGTCTTCTATCTTTCAGGAATATTTGCCATTTAAATATTGAATAGATCTTTTTGGAAATTAGTCATATCAAAGACAATTTTTATGATGCATAGAAGCTAGCATAATAAATAGCCTATTATGAATGCTTGAATTAATATAAAATTGGACAAAGGAAAAAATATCTGTGTCTAATTTTCTAAAGGTCTTAATTATCTGACTTTACTTCACTGACTTGGCAAGTTTTACACCGCTAGTTAGCATCTGAGGTTGGATTTGAACTCTTCCTTATTCCAGGCTCAAAGCTCTATCCATATACCACCTTTCTGCATCAGGGTAGTATAAAGAGAGGTGACCATAACAAGTGCAGTGCTGGATTCTTATCAAGATATAATATTGCACAGCTAAGCACTGGATAAAAATAATGAATTGAAGAATTGAAGAGTCATAATCCTCCTTCTTTATCATCTCTTAAAAGTAATTTAGTTTTGAATCTTATTTTTCTTTTGTTTTCTCTTTTTCTAGGCCCTTGCCATGTATCTTTTGTAGCTATATTAAAGGCTGTTTGATCTTACACAGTTTCATTTTCAATAGTTTTTAAAAAAACAACCCTTATTTCCCCCCTAAATTCTCACTAGTTTTCCAATGATAAATTCCTCAATAAGTCCTGTCTCTGGGAGTTTCAGGGGCCTAAAGAAGTACATTATTAGCAGTCTGTATTTTACTTTATAGTTTCCTTTAGTTGCTGCTATTGCTGGGTTTTTGTTTTTCTGATTGCTTTCTGGTTCCATGTAATTTCTCACATCTTTGGGCCAATGAGATAACAATAAATTCTCAGCTGTAAAGAATAATAATTACTAGAATAATAAAAATAAAAACAATACTGATGCTAACAACAATAATAATGTCTTATCTTTATATAGCCCTTTAAGGGTGGGAAAGCATTTTACATATGTTATCTTATTTGATCCTTATAATAGCCCTCCAACATGGCAGCTATTACTATGCCCACTTTTTTGGTACAGAAACTGAAACAGAGAAGTTATGTGACTTACCCCGGGTCACACAACTATTAAGAGTTTGAGGTAGGATTTGAACCTCAGGTTCCTGAAAAAAAATTGTCTCAGAAGAATATTGTTTATATAACCCTAAATTTTATTGATTTCCATAAAAAATAGAGATGTATTCCTTAAAAGAAAAGTTGATTCCAAGAGATAACAAACAAATTTGGGTTGTTTCTGTTCATTTTTTCCTTATCTCTTTTTCTTGCTATATGAGTTAGGTACCAAAAGCCTTGAACCATTCTCAGATAAAGGAGGATCACAGAAATTTATCTACGAAGCAAATTCTTCTTTTTAATTGACCACTGCCCCTCACCCCATCATTAATCCCCATCTCCAATAAAAGTAAACTCAAGGCGCTCCAGCTACACTTTTTTTTGACCTTAGACGTGTTCTTTCATTTCTGTCTCACTGCCTAGCTGTAGCCATGTTTCTCTCTGAAATTTAGCAGGTACCTCTATCTTTTTAGCAGAGAAATCCCTAGACATATTTTATGCTGCATGCCAATTCCAATGAGATTTAATAGATGATGAATAAAATAAACACTATGTTGCATTAACAATACTTATTAGAGACTCAAAAATAATACCTGGGACAGGTCTTCCATGTATTGATGTGATTCTAAAGATCCACACTATAGGATAGCAGCCAAATATCTGACCCCTTAGCAAGTTAATCTGGATCTGGGGTAAATTGTTTGAGATAATAGTGTGGCTAGAAGCTGTAAGGGCAACAATGATTGTTATTAGGCCTTCTTGGGATTTGCATATGCTCTAAGAAAATCTGCTACATGTGGCTAAAGGCAATCTTTCAGATCAGGTTAAATCAGTTTTCTTAATGTAAAAATAAATTAGATTAGCATTTACAACTTTGCACTACCACCCCCATTGCCACCAAGTTCAAGAGTTTGTTCCAAGTGTTAGAAGTTGGCAGCTTTGATGCAGAATGACTAAAGTGTTGTTTAGTATTAAAGGACATGTCCTGCAGCAATGATAATGTTTCATGATTGTAATTAATCATAACGACAGTTTCCCCTTTGTAGTTTTTATAAAAGCCATATTGAGTCAGCTAAACATATAGTGAAAAAACCTTTTTTTTGGAGGGAGGGGTAAAATGATTTTATCTCCTGGCAATTTTGTTTTATCCTCAGTGAATTTATTTGCAGCATATGTGGTTTCTCTTGCTTTAGGAAAATTATATAATTCTTCAAGATCTGGCCTTTTCATGCAAATATAAAGTGACTGTCCAGCCAGCAAGACCCAAGGGTCGTTTGAAGGAAGAAAGTATTTTCTTTACCACCCCACCTTGCTCTGCTCTGAAAGGGAAACACCACAAACATAATAGCTGTCCTGGTGAAGGAGGTAAGTCAAGATCTAATGAAGAACCAAGTACACTTTGGAGTATGAAAAACATGTTGGGAAAATATTTTCAGAATGTATTTCACCAGACTGAAAGTTTAAAGTAGCCATTCTCTTAATGTCATATTGTAACCTAATGGTCCATTTTGGAGTTCTGTTATGAAGTCTTGCTAGTGAAGTACTTGAAAAACAAATATCCTTTTTGCCTTCTTTTTCCCTGACTTCTTGTAAAAAGTGAAAGTTCACAAGTCTGGGACTATACATATAGCATCAGACTTTTTTCTTTGATTTTTTTTCCTCTTCATCCACTTTTTGATATTATTCATTATAAGGGATGGTTCTTTGAATTTGGAGAGGGGAAGAGGAAACAAAAGGGATCACCAAAAGTCTTTTTCTCAAAAAAGAAAAGAATGTTTTTGCTTGCAAATAGCATTTCACTAATACAGAGAGATATCATTATATACTGTTAGGAAAAAGAAGCCCAGAACAAAGCACATTTTAAGAAAATTGCTCAGATTTTTTTTTTCACTTGCCATCTTAGTGAATCAGATGTGGTTTGACTAAGCCTGAACTTTAGTTCCTAAAAGCCTACATTAGAAAATCTAGAAGAAGGCAATAAGATCTGATTCACAAATTCATAAAAAGGACCTACTTACATTGCTACTCACATAGTTGTAACACCATATTCTGTTCTTAATGCTGTTACAGGTCCAGTTCTTTCCAAAGTATTAGCCAAGCCCGAGAATCTGTCAGCGTCTTTCGTTGTTCAAGAAGTCAATATCACAGGACACTTTTCCTGGAAGATGTCCAAGGCCAATCTCTATCAGCCTATGACAGGATTTCAAGTCACTTGGGCAGAAGTTACTACAGAGAGTAGACAAAATAGCTTACCCAACAGCATCATTTCCCAATCTCAGATATTGCCAGCAGTAAGTGTTGTAGAAAGAGGCACCTGCTTCTGCCATAAATATTCATTGCTGAATTCAGAATTCAAATTTATGCACTATTGTACTCTGTGATACCTTGAAATTCTCTGCCCCACCCCCAATCTTTGAATGTGGTTTGTAAGCTCCAACACCCTTCAGATTCTGCTTGTAAAGTATAAAGTAGTAAAGTATTCAGATGAAGGCTGACCACACCTGGCCCCAGATGTTCCCTAGACTGCCTTCAGCTAGCAATGAATTTGTGGCTGCTCAGTTCATTTTAAATAAGAGAAGAAATGAAGATAGCCATTTCTTTGATAGCTTTGCAGTGAGGTTATCTTGCCCATGCTATATGCAATGTCTGTATTTGACCTCTGTACTGTCTCCTATAAGTAAGCATTACCCTTTGAAATAACATACTAAATAACAATTAACTCAGAAGTGATTACTACTTGACTTTATCCCTGAAATATGACTGAATTAAGAAATAGGCTATATAAAGAGTTGGACTCACTTCTAAGCCACTTACTCTTTGGGGAATTGAGTGGAGAAAGGAATAAGATTCTGCTTTTGCTCTCTTCAAAATTTACTTAGAATATTTAGTAGGAAGGGAAGGGGAAAGGAAGGGAAAAGGAAGGGAAAGGAGAAGGAGAAGGGGAAAGAGAAGGTAGGTGAGAGAGAAGGAGGAAGGAGGGGGGAGAAAGACAGAGACAGTTAGATACACCAAAACAAAGAAGGGAGGGAGGGAGGGAGAGAGGGAGAGAGAGAGAGAGAAAGAGAGAGAGTAGAGTGAAGCCCTAAAAGGAAAACTTCATGACATTAGAAAATAGTCTGTTTTCAAAGATATTCATGTCTGTAATGAATCTAGGCAGGTTTTGGAAGAATTCTTCTCTGTAAAGAAATAAGCATTTAAGGTCATAGACACTGACATATATTGTGCTTTAAGGAAAATCATTGGCTATTTAACTAAAATTGGAATTATCATGAATTCATATCAAAAGATGTACAGTTGAGAACTTAAAACCATGGGAAAGTCTTATGCTAAAGCCAACAAAAAAATCTGAAATCCCACAAGTGAACCCTGAGAATTGGCATCTTTGCAGATTTGCTCTTTGCCAAATGTCTGATGCTGCCAAGAATTTAGCTAGGTGCTAAGAAACTATACAGTGGAGAATTCAAGCAAATTAGCAGAAACATTCTTTTTTTTTTTTTTACAAATTTAAATGTAGTTTCAAAATTTTAAGTGAATATGTATTACTGTAAGCAAACGGCCTCATAAAAGGAACAAAATATCTGCAGAGAAAGCTTTAATCGCGTACTAAATCCAATTATTCATTTTCATCTCATTTAACTTGTTAGGACCATTATGTGCTGACTGTACCCAATTTGAGACCATCCACACTCTACAGATTGGAAGTGCAAGTGCTTACTACTGGAGGGGAAGGGCCAGCTACAATAAAATCATTCAGGACACCTGATCTGCTGCCATCTTCAACTCACAGTGAGTATGGAGGCTTTTTTTTTTTAAATCCTGTTGAGCTGACTAGGAACACAGGTTATGTTAATGAAAATCCTCTTTAAAATAAGCAAATTATGGAAGCTTCATATGAAACATGTACTTTTCCTTACTTAAAACTCTCCCTAAGAGGGGAGTTGAATGATCTTGATATTGATTTGACTATTTTCATCCATTGTAATTCTACAGGGGTGTTGTGTATGTAGCAAAATAGGCTCTTTATCCTTTTTCCCTTCCCTCCTTCCCTCCTTCCCTCCTTCCTTCCTTCCTTCCTTCCTTCCTTCCTTCCTTCCTTCCTTCCTTCCTTCCTTCCTTCCTTCCTTCCTTCCTTCCTTCCTTCCTTCCTTCCTTCCTTCCTTCCTTCCTTCTTTCCTTCCTCCCTCCCTTCCTCCCTCTGTTCTTCCTTTTCTCCTTCCTTCTCTTCCTCCTTCCTTTCTTCCTTCTTTTCTTCCTCCCTTCCTTTTTATTTTATCTTATGCTTTCATGGTATATACATTGTTAGAGTTAGGAATAGAAGAGGGACAGAGAGACACTAGGAATCAAATGTTTCTTATGGAAAAATCACAACTATTCAATCTGATCAACAGATATTTATCAATTGCTTACTATATAAAGTTATAATATACTTCTTTTAATTTCTTAGGACTCCATCTTAAACAACATCATCCACATCACTATAAGCCTTCTCCAGAGAAATACTAAAATGAAATGATTTTTGAAGCGTGAAAGAGTATTGAACTTCAGAATATTTGCAGGACAATTGGTACTTTCCCATCCTTAAATTGCCTAGTTGAAGTTACAATCACATATAATTCATTGATAACTCTGCATAGATGTTTTCCCCAATACATGTGCCTGCAGTGCTGCATGCCACAAGCATTATGACAGTAGTGTCTATATTCTGCCAACCGAGGATGTAAAGCACCTGTGTCACTATGAAGACTATGCCTATTGTAACTGAGATTTTGTTTCCTATACTTATACTAAATACAAAGGGTGCTACATGTGTTTTTGATGATCTTTGGGAAAGGATCTTTGGAGAAAAGTGATTTTTTACATATGACTGGCCAGCGTAGAACAGCTTTGGGTGATGATGATGTAAGTGAATGTGGAAGGAATAAATGCACTAAAAAAATAAGAGCAGTTATAGAGATCTTAGTCTGAAAATACATGAATAGTTATCAATTGAAGACATATTAGGTGGGGAAAATCAATGTTTAACTATTTTCCCCAAATAATATAACAAGTGCTATAGTTAGGCCACATCTATGTTATCAGTTAAAGACACCACTGGGGAATAATTTGTATGTACTTATAGTGAATAGGTACATGAGATGAGCATTTGTATGACATTGAGGTATCCTTACCATTCCCACTGACCTCCTAAAATACTTAATATTTAGAGTTATAGTCTGCCCTACTTGAACATCCCAGTTAATGTAGTTTAAAGTCTATTCTGTGGCCCACACCAAATCCAGATAAATTCATGTTAATCATGTATTATCTATTATTGTGATGCCAACTTATTTAGGTAGTAACCAAAATATCCAAGGAATTGATTGATTTAGCCCCAAGAATGTTCCCCATTCCTTCTTTAGGGAAATCAATTATTTTACTGTCTCCCAGTCAAGTAATCAAAGCTTTACTTATGTCTAGGAATTTAAACTCCCCAATTGTGTAATATTATTTCTTCTCTCATTCATTCTTTAGTTAAGGAGGAAAACTGCTATTTGCATCCATTTTCCTAAAATGTTCGTATAATTGAAGACTTATGTTACCTCATTCTTAAAATGAAGACAGTTCCAGTCCTAACTTTTTCTAATGCTTCATGCAGAAGCTTATATAGATGGATTTTTTTTTAAGCCAAGTACAATGCTTTCATTAACAGGAGAAAAATAGTTATACTGCATTTGACTCATCCTTATGAACTCTACAATTTTCTATTCTTTTGAATAAATAATTTTTCATTTGAATCAATAAAAATTTCCCTATTTCCAAATGGAAAAAGGTCAGTTAATGACATTATCAGGATATTGGATTGCTATGGTTATTAGAGAAATAGGACTCAAGGATTTTTTTTCAAGAGATACATACCAAATAGACACAAAATAAATACAAATATGTACACACATATACATGTGTGTATGTATGTATACACACATTCACACACATATGCATGCCATATTGGACTTAGTTCTTTACTGGGAAATGCTGGAGACAGATCATCCATCTGGGAAAAAAAACCACATAATCCCAGGAATCCTGCCAAAGACAATGAGAATTAATGAGAGCAACTTAATAATTAATTTCCCTCAAAGTTTTCTATTGTTTAAGAAGATAACTATAAATTTACTTTTTTTTTTAATGCACAGCTTTCATGTTGAAGTTTACTGGGGAAAATGTATTTTAAGATTTTAGGATGCACATTCTCATTCTTACCTCACATGCATAGTTATCAAATCTCATTTAATGATTTTCTTACAGGTACAAAAAATTGTGGGAACTGATATAGAACTTAGAATTCATGGAATTTATGTGCACACACACACAAATATAAGATTATTTATCTACCCATCTATCTATCTGTCTGTTTCTATTTACCCAGTTGTTCTATCTAGGTTTTATTTTTAAGACTCTTTACAAGATTATCAAACCCAGAGATTGATTTTTAAAACATTTTCCTTTTATTGTGAACAAATTGAAAACTCCTAATGAATAAACTCAGTATATCATGTACATAGCTTAAAATGCAAGGTCCAAATGAAAGTTTCTGTTGGTTTCACAGGCAGCTCTTAATTTAGATAAGCATGTATGTAAACCTTGGGAAATACACCAGATTTTAAAATTTAAACCATTTTGTTGAAGGAAACAAGAAACTCATGTTAAAACACATGGGGCATAAGCAAACATAATACAGCGATCTCCTTGGAAAACTATGCTAAATTCCAGCACTGATGCCAACAACCAGAATCAACAACAGCAAAAGTTTGAGAGAGGGGAAAGAAAATGAACACACACACACACACACACACACACACGTTGTTTGAAGCTCAAGTTTATCTTATTCCTTTTTTTGTCATAAAATCAGTGCAATCACTCTTTACAATCTGTTTTATTCATGAATGATTGAAATAAGGAGGTCAAAAGATACTAATGAGAATAGATGTGCATGTAAAACTGAATTATTTTTCTTTAGTTTGAGCTAGCCAAAATATAAAGTATTATTTTAGAACTGTAGGTAGAAGCTGAGATCCACAAAGTCAATACCATCAATTCCAGAGTAATAAGGAACTGCTTATATCAACATCTGTTTCTTTTTTTAATCTCCATAACACATCATTCTAGTTTGGGTGGTGGGTTTTTATGAAAAAAATATAGCCAATTATTGTCTAAAAGGCCAGTTGTTTTGCATTTTCTTCACTTTCAGTAAGTTCACATTGGCAAAGTACAATTCTAATTTCATTTTTGTAGAGTTGAAAACTGTTCTTTAAAAGGAAACAAATGTATTGTTTCTGTGCTTAATCATGAAATCTATCCAGCAGAAATTTATAAGACGTATTAAAATTGGGCAGATCTCACATTTAAAGACAACAATATTGTGTTCAATAATGATAGTCAGTGTTTATGGGACTGAAATAAATCTTTTAGCTACTCAAAAACAAGGCACTGAAAATAGAGAAAAGATAAATTATGTACTGTATACACTTTTCCCTGCTAGAATGTACATTCTTGGATTTATCCTAGACTATCTCACTAAGATTTTTTTTTCCATCTGAAAATTTTAACATTCTTTTTGCAAATGGTCTTGTGTTCTTTTGAAAGCACATGTTACAATTTTCATACTATTTATGGGAGAAGATCATTTTTATACTAGGTTATTTTGGAAATGTTTACGAATCAGAGTTCAAACTAGAACATATTGTTGCTTCTTATAAAGCTAAAGGAAAAAACACCAGGCCCTATCCTGACATCTTGATTGAGTAAGAGAGATTCTGCCCATATTAGGATTGTGGGAGAAGGCCTGGGCACCATAGTAAGATGCATAATTAACATAAGGGGACACTGGGAACATAGGAGACAGAAGGAAAGTACTATTTTAAAAATCAAACACTGAAATAGGCAACTATCTCATTGCTCATTTAGAACACTCACAGAAAAGTTGATTTCTGTCTTTTGTGTCTAAATAATGGAAGTGGAAATTTTATTTTTTCCTTCATGTTTGTAAAGGTCCATTGTGATATTGACTTATTTATTAATGCCCTTTCATTTTGTGACACGTAATCCTTCATTTTTGTTGATACTGAAAATCCAAAATAACTGTCATGTTATGAGATCTTATATTTTAGAATCAGGAAATGAGGCTCAAAAGCTGTTGCATGTAGTTTAAAATTTTATTTAAGAAATGTAAATGAATTACCTGAAGATGTCAAATATTATATATGGTTTTGCATGCCCAAACTCAGTGCTCAGTTATCGGCATGAACTGTAATGACCATCATATCTCTACTGAATATATTAGCAAGTTACACAATTTACAGAGTGATTAACAGAGGTTTATATGTAAAGTTATTTTTCTCCTTTACTTAATTATATTGTAGTGTGAAGATAACAGAACTGCTTATCTGTCACCCAAGTGGGCTGTAGAAATCATGTTCCCTGTAACAGTCATTTAAAGTCAATATTTATTTATGTATGTAATACAAAAAAGTTTGATTTTTGTGTATGTCTGTCCTGTTATTTACGGAGAAGAAATCTTGTAAAAATTTTTTTTTTGTAAAAAAAAAAACAAATGAAAGTAATTGTAAATAGTCTGATATTCTGTTACTCATTATTTTCATGTTAGAACTTGTACATATTGTTTAAGTAATAAACTATCTCTAAACCTGTAAAGGAAGCTGCATTTTTCCTTCCAAGGGAGCTGCATTTTATTTTTTACCTTGAGCAAATCAGAGACTCCTCTAACACAAATCAGATTCAAGTGGCATAAGTTTGCTCTATCAGTATGTCTGGAATTGAGGTCTGGTTAATGTTAAGAAGACAGCACTTCATTCTAATGAAAGTATTTCAGAGTTGACAATCAACACCCCACAAGCCTTTCATCACATTTAAAATCATTCATGATTCCTTTTTGTAAAGACTCTTCACTTATTTTCCTAGTATTGTCAGAAGTATCCTCACTAATCCTATATAGCTTCAACTTTTAAAAACCATTAGTAAATGCTTCTATATCATAGTTCCATGCATTAAGTTGGAGGATTACCTACAAATATTATTAATAAAGCATAATAAACACAGTACCTTTTATCATGTCAAGTCGCAACAATATTCTCCCATACAATTCCTAATTACCTTGTGCCATATAATGATTTAGTGATTAAATGACAAGGATATTTGTATTTTTAATACTGTTCACACATGTATATAGGGATACAATAGTCTTCCCATCCATTTCTTTTTCATCTGCAAAACTCACAATTGCTATGTTCAGGTTCTATGACAATCATGTATCTCATGACTCTTCCCATGACTCAGTTTATCTGAGTATCTTTATATATATATATGTATATGTGTGTGTGTGTGCATGTGTTTATATATATATGTATATATATATATATGTGTACACACACACACATACACATATAAAACTAATAAAGGGTTCTTGGTGCTGTGGATTCTGAGGATTTCACAAATTTTGATGGGAAAATGTTTTTATTCTCACTCATCTCTAATGGAAATTAGTAGCTTTTTTCAATAAGCAACAAGGCATTGTGTGTATTTTCTTTTTCCTCCTTGGGCTAGGCAATGGGGTTAAATGACTTGCCCAGAATCACACAGCTAATAAGTGTCAAGTGTCTGAGGCCAGATTTGAACTCAAGTCTTCCTAACTCCATGGCCAATGCTCTATACACTGTGCCACCTAGCTGCCCTATAACAAAGCATTGTTCTGAGAAAGGGCTATACTATAGGCTTCACCAGACTGTCAAAGGGGTCTGTGACACACACACACACACACACAAAGATTAAAAACTTCTGTTGAATGTAACCCCTGAATTCCTAGGTCCTAGGAATTTGTACTTGAAACCATTTATTGACCTTTATAGATTCTTCATCTTTCATTCAACTGTTAAAACTAATCAACTTCCAGGTCAGACGACAAATATTCATTGTTCTAGACCTACCCTCACAAGCAAAATCAGTTTAAGGAGACATAGGTTTTTAGTATGGGTTCATCATTATTATCCATTCAATAATTGTATGCTGGACATCATGGAATTTCACAGAACCACTTCCAAATAATAAAGATAGTTGTCAACTTTACATAGCTGATAATGAGTATATAAACATAGCAATTATCTGTCCCTGACCTTCTTCCACTGGAACCTTTCTCAGGCACTGGCCTCACTCTTCCATATGAGCCATCCTGGTAAGTGTCCTCCCCACTTCTGTGCTCCCCCTCACTGAGGCCTTCTTTAAGTGAAGCCCTCTTCTTGCTATTAAAACTTTTTTCTATGTATTCCTCTGCCTCAGAAGCCTTGAAAAGCAAGCCCTCTGCTCACTCTTTCTTATTGCTAAGGCCTCTCCCTAATTCTTCTGTTGGAGCAACGCTGTCACCTAAATCACTAGCCAACCTCCCCTTTTTTCTACCCTAAATACTAACCCTTCTTGGAAGTCACAGATCTCAAGACTCAGAGGGAGTTTAGAGGTCAGTTATCAGTGTTCCAGTGCTGTTGTTAGCATTATCTCAGATACTTCATAGGTTAAATAACTATAACACAGTTACATAGTGCTTTAAGATTTCAAAACTCTTTCCAGCAACCCGGGGGAGTGAGATTTATGATTATTATATCCCCAATTTTATAGATAAGGAAACTAAGGCTTATAAAGGATAAGTGACTTCACCAGGGTCACAAAGCTAGTAAATGACAGAATCAGATTTTAAACTTTGGTCTTCTGACTCCAAATTCATTGCTCTTTCCTTTTATTTAGGGTTGGCTGGAAACCTACATTTATAAATTTCATTATAAAATTTATAAATTTAATTTTAATTTATGAATATGATTATAAATTTCTACCAGAAAAATCTTTCCTAGGTTCCAAAGAACTGATTACAAATAAACTTTTGCCATGTAACCTGTCTAGAAAGTGATCTCTGCTTGTACATGAATACAGAGAAGTCAGATGGGTTATTTTTAGTCATTAAAAAATACTTACTGAAGGTGCTAAGGAAAGAATGGCAGGGATTTTAAAGTAATACTCAGTGCCAGGCCTTGTTAGGAGCACAAAGATAAAAATGAAATGCTCCATGCCCTTGAGGTGCTTACATTTTACTGGAGTGGAGGGTGAGGAAATATGGCAAAATGTACAAATAAGTGCATGTGGAATATAATCTAAATACAAACTAATTCCAGTTTGGAATCACCATGGTTGTGTTTGGACATATGAGTATCTTCCTGTGTATTGAGGTATACATCACAGATTAAAGGGTATTGAAGGCATACTGAAGTGAGTCAGAATTTGGCAGAGGCTAAATAGGTGAGTCAGTTTTAGGCAGAAGTATGCTGGAACTAGCTTTAATCAGAATCATTTAAAATTTTCAGGGTGAACATTTACAACTCAGAAATCATCAACAAATCAATTAATTTATTTTTTTGTTGATTGTCTAGACTTCAAAAGCATTAATAAGGTCGATTAAACTTTAAAATGTATGCATTTATTCCCCCTTCTCCCACTAGAGACCAGTTGTTAAGCTTTTACCTGCACATTCCTAGGCTTAGGGAACATTAAAAGGCAAGTCTATAGATGGTAAAGAAATATTGAAGTAGAACTAAGAAAATATATGGTAAACAAGTAAAGGGAAGTGTGTGACCATGATGAGTGGAGAGAGAGATGATAGAACACATTGATGATCAATACAATCCAGGGGAAGAAGGACAGAGCCATGCCTGTTTAATGCTACACATGTGTTTTATTGTCTCAGTTGTGTCTGATTCTGTGACCTCATTTGGGGTTTTCTTGGCAAAGATACTGGAGTGGTTTGCCATTTCCTTCTTCACCTCATTATACAGATGAGGAAACTGAGGCAAACATAACTGACTTGTGCAGGGTCACATAACTAGCAAGTATCTGAGACAGGATTTGAACCCAGGAAGATGTCTTCCTGGTTCCAAGCAGCATGTTATCCACTGCAAAAAAACTGCAGTGATGAAGCGTTGGGGAATCTGAATGTGATAAGACTAGAACACACACAACACACACACACACACACACACACACACAGACTAGAATGTCTGAGTTGGGAACATGCTGCAGAAAATGACTTTATGAACAATGTTTTATTTTGTTTGAAAATAAAATAGGCTAGAAACTAAGAGACTAATGAAGGAAAGGCTACCATTCAGGACCAACTCTCTAAGACTCAATTGACTTTTCTATTTCTATTTTCCCATGTAAACTGAAGCTGATAGATTTCCCTTATTCCCTAGACTGGTAATGATGTAAGCATGATGACCAGATGACCATTTGCAAAGTACATACAATTTCTCAAAGATGGGTATTTTCTAGCAGTGTTATACATTTCTCCAAGGCTAAATGCAACTGGAAATAGGCTGATTTTCATGTTACCACACTTCAAGTGATAAACACAAAATGGATTTGAAGTGTTGTCTTGAAATTTGCTCTATGAATGTTCTTCACTAAGTGGCTGCAGATCTAACAAATCTGTCTAGAAAACAGTCATATCCCATGAAACTAAACCTATCAGTTGCTGGAATCTGTAAGGGGGAGAGAACATTCCATTAGAGAAAATGACTCAGATACATAATCCAGCCTAGAAGTGGACTTGATAAAACAGTGAAGCTCATTCTCCTTCAGAAATAGACTTGCCAAAACCAGAAATGAAAATCTAGCCCTAGATTTGACCTGATACAAAACAACTGAGTTTTGCAAAGTCAGGTGTAATTAATAGGATAGTCCAGGATTGCCAGAAACTGAAATAATCAAGGGTGGAATATGATGTAAGTACTTAGTGA